CCACCCGGTAAAATATTCAAAATTTACAACATGACAGTTTTCATCAATTCAACTGACATTTTGTAATGGTGACAAACGTAAAAGATAGGATAGATGTTAAAAAAAACAAAATTTGTTATTTGCTGCACTCTGCTCTTATCAATATCATAAAAACCAGGTGTTCGTACAGACAGATACTACAGACAGGTTCTCTGTGATGTTGATATTAAAAAGATGCGTGAGTTCTGACTGACAGTAGTTTTTCAGTTCTTGGAGATCGGGTCTTCCAACAATCTATCCGAATTCCCATTTTAGCAGACCTTTTTTGTATTCAAATGAAGAATTTATTTTTTAAAAAAGTACACATGAGAAGAAAAAAAAACATTTGCTTTGGCCTTCTAATCTATATTTCATTGTCACTTAATTCTGTATATATTGAATCGATTTTTGATAAAATACATACCACAGACCCTGCACTTGTGTTTCAAGCTTTGATATTTTAATAGAAAAAGACGTAAATGGTAATCTCAACATTTTTAAAAGGTTCGAATCCCACGAATATCATATATTTTTATAAGATAAAATTTTTTAACGAGATTTTTTTGTGTCTCAGAAGTTATTTTTTTCCCCGTAATTTCATAAATTTTTTAATGAAAAGTTAATTTAAATACTCAATTCACATATTGAATATGATTTCTTAATATCCGACGCTATAGGCATTCTGCCCGCCTTGTTCTCCCATCTTCTTTAATTACATCTTTATAAATCTAATACAGTGTAGTCTTAATTAATCTTTATAAAATATGCAATATACATTCATCCTTAAATTTAATATGTTTTTTAATCTAAAAAGTTACCTCGCTTATCATATGCTTATGTTAAAATTGACCGATTTCACAAAACATTATCTTCTTAAAAGAAAAGATAATGCCCAAAACACAACTTTTATGTAAGTGTCTTTAAAATACCATTGATTAAATATTTAGTATAATCACTTCCATTGTGTTCATGTTTAAAACATACATTTTTGTCATCTAAATTGAAGTTTATTTACCATATGCATACGAAAGCTGTTTGCGTTGCCCGCATAGCACAATGGTTGGAGCTTCTGCTCTAGAATCTCGGAATAAGGTATTTATCTTTACGTCGCGAGTTCGAATCCCACAGCAGGATGTTGAGAACGGTTCAAAACAGTACACGTATTATTGATTGACAACATCTATGTGGTTTTAAGAGATCAGGTCCTACAAAAATCTGTTGGAAATCATGGGGTATCAATTGCACCCCGTTTTTAACAGACCTATATCTGTATTATTATGAAGCGTCTTTAATTCTAATAAATGAAAAGAAGACACTTGCTGTGACCTCCAACTCGACATTTAGATATATGCACTACTAATTATCAATTAACCATATTTATTTCCCTTAGAATATTGCAGCGATACATATGCACATGACTGTATATCCCAGTGAGTTTAAAATGAAAATACCATCTGTCTGACATATTTGTATCATGATTGGATATTTACTAGATGATACTGTATACAGGGTTATTTTCGCCCCGTGTTATTTTCGCCCTTTTGAAAAAGATTTTGCCCCGTTTTAAAACCATTCAAAGTTCTGTTTCAGAAATTATGCTGTGTAATTTGGATTCGCCCCGTTTTAAATTCGCCCAAATGAGGATATGGCGAAGGGGGCGAAAATAAAACGGAAGCGAAAATTTCCCTGTATACAGTATATGGAGATAACGAATAGTATTTAAGCTCGAAGTTAAAAAAACAATATAAAATAGGAGCAGAGAAGACAAAGACCTCCAAAACATCACAATTGGATTTGGTGCCATGGAGGGACTGCACTGATGACTTTAAAGGAGACTGTCTGCTATACTTGTTTCATAAACTTGTTTGTTAATAGTTTACCTTGTTTTGGAAATTGTACATACGTAGAGCATACTCTTGCATATCGAATCGACTGGGTGATATAAATCCAATATGCAGGTGATGAAGGTATATTGCTGCATAAGTAAGTTGACGATTGAAATGTTAAAGTTATCACGTTTATCACAGGGCTTGGTCGTTGTACTTGTATTACCATTAACCTCAGGTAAAATATCCAAAAATGATACAGAGTTGTCAGACTCTGTGGTATCTTTCTTTTCAAGCTCACCAGGATATATCGTATCGGCATAAGAAATAACCATTGTTAATTGGCAATACGTCGTCGATATATCTAAATTTCGAGTTGAATGCCACGGCAACTGTTTTTTTTCTTTTCATGTATAAGATTTTGGGCATATTCTGCTTCATATGAATACAAAAATAGGTCTGCTATGACGGGATGCAGTTGGTAACCATGGGAATTCCAATACATTGTTGGAAGACATGGTTTCCAAAAACCACATAGATATTGTCAATCACAAACTCATGCATAAGATAGATGCCTGAAGCATTCAAAAGCATTCTATGCAGAATTTAAATGCTATTGATAGTTCTTCAAACACAACTTTCTTGTAAAATCAGGAGTGAGACAAGGATGTGTGATGTCAGCTCTATTGTTCATCATAGCAGTAGACTGGGTAATGAGATCAACCCTTAGTGACGAAAACACAGGCATCAAGTGGGCTCTTTTCAGTAAGCTAGAAAACTTAGATTATACAGATGACCTGGCTTTATAATCTCATCTGGAAACGCAAATTCAAAGAAAAGCATCTACTTGTAATTTTCAAACAGATGCCAGCAAAAGCGTTTTGGTTTGAACATCAACATAAAGAAAACAGAGGTAGGTCCCTAAATACTAATAAGCCCACCCAAAATACAAAGTGAATGGAAAAGGAATTAAAAATATATCATATTTTACATTCTTTGAAGTGTAGTAACATCAAATGGCGAAGCTGACAAGGACATCATACCAAGATTATGTTAAGCCAGAGGATCCTTTGTCAAGCTCAAAATATATTGAAGTCAAGCAGCCACAGCAGATATACTAAGATCAAACTGTATAATAGTTGTGTACTATCTGTCCTAATGTATGGTGCTTATTGCTGGAGTATGACAGAAAGTGACATAAAAAGCTACCAAGTTTTCATAACGGGTGCCTCAGAAAGATCTTGAGGATATTTTGGCCAACAAAAATTACCAACAAAATTTGTACGAAACAGCAAAAACAACAGACAAGAGGATCTTACTAATAAAAAACAGATGGAGATGGATTTGGCTTTGACCCCAGAAGGGAAAGGGAGGAAAGGTCGACCAAAACAATGTGGAGGCGAACATTGGAGGAGATAAATCTTACCTGGGGAGAGGTGGAGAAGATAGCAAGGAACATAGAGGAAATCTCTAGTCCTTGCCCTTTGTGCCTCCGGGTGCAACAAGGACTAGGTAGTTAGGTAGCATGAAGGAGTAAGCATTCCCTGTCAACCGGTCACATCCCCGTGTGCTTCTTGTCATGATCGGGAAAATCTGTCGATAATTGAGTGTGTAAAAATGGCCTTACTATCACTATGAAAAACGATAGTCAGCATTTGATTTAATGATAGATTGGTTTTGCTATAGAAAAAGACGTCAATGGTAATTTAACAACCAAGCCTTATGATAAGCCTGATGAATAAGTTTTCAATCGTCAACTTCCTCTACTAATGCAGTAATATATCCTTTTTAGTTTTACAACCGCTAGTATTCGACTTTTGGCACAAGCATCTAAATCATGTCATAGTATATTGATTTTCAACGTCGGATCAATTACAATGACCTGCCTTTGAACCAATTTCTCTAGGATTTCATAAAAACAAATGAACGCCATAACAATATGATGTTACACATACATGTATGTATTGGTCAGAGAAAACTTGGGTGATAATGGTTCTATTATTTATGTAGGCTATTTGTGTTTACTATCAATGCAGTGTTGTTCATTAACTTATTAACTAATCATTGGTCCTAATTATTAAATATGCATTATATTGATAGCATATGTTTGTTTGGATTCCCATTTCCCTAGTTCGGATAGATACATATACAAATACATAAAAAAGTGAAAGAACAGTGGTTAATCTCAGAAATCCAGTAAAAACATCAGAAGTAGGATCAGGTGTATACAGGGAGTAAGCATTCCCTGTCAACAGCACACCCTCGTCGTTAATGCCTGCTGTAGGCCTATACGATTAGTAAATTGAAAAATAGTATATATCAACTCATGGCCTAAAACTTTGTGTTAAAACTCCAAGTACCTCTATTAATGAAAAAGCTTTTTATCTCGATTAAGTTCATTATGTTTTTTTCTCTTGTATTTGAAATTTAACACAGTTCATGTACGTTTTAGTTACTGTATTGAAAAAGGCCTCCCACGCCTTCCAAGATTTAAGAGCTAAACCACCACCATGTGTATTACAAAAGGGTCTTTGAAATTGTGGAGATCAGATATTGTAGACCGTTTGTTGCGAAAGTTTACTCTATTTTCATCGATGTAATTAATGAACCAAGATTTCTAGAAATACTCTTCATTTCTTATTTTGGTCTTCAGTGAAAACTAGAACTTTGTAATGACGACGAAGTTTTTCTTAGTAAATAAAGCTATCAAAACATATCTTTTTTGCGGATGCCGACTGTGAAAGTATTTCAGCCTTCTTTGTAGAGTTTTCAATGAGACGCACCCAAGAATTAGGTAGAAATTTCCATGGTTATTAATGAAATGTCTTTTTTGTATCATTCTTATTAAGTATATATTCTAAATATTATATCACAAAAAAAAAGAAAACAAAAGAAAACAAAGTCTCCTAGACTCGGTTGATTGGCATTTAACAATAACGATGAAAATATTAAATTAAAACCAAACATCTACTGTCTATAAGTATTCCATCTGTACAGATCCTTAAAGAAAGCATTTCACACAGAATGGTCTACGTACAGGTTTGGTAATCATCTTACGTTGTTATAAAAGCGAAATTCATTCCTATGTCACCTAGTCGTACATTTATCATGGCATTGCCTACTGTGATTCTGGTTCTAATGGCGGTAGAGACTGACAGGCCGCTCTTAGCTATCCGTCTTATCGCCCTATTATGGTACCTTCGTGTGTTGCATTTTAAAACTCTCAGTGAAAACACATCTTCGTTACTATTCATTTCCGATCGATCGCGTAATGTGACGCTCATTCTGAGATTTCATGTCGAATAAAACTAAGACTTATTGGAGCAAAGAACTAAGTGTACTTGGAGGGTTATGTTGTAGCGGTGGGTCATCTTCCGCGCGCTTGTCAGCTCCGTTGTGACGCTGGAAAAGTGAAGTACTTTCACTCTCCCGTTTTCGTTCATCTCACCGTCGCTGCTGAAAGGATCATTTCAATATTTACCTGAGACGTTAGAATTGATTATACTTGTACATGGAATCTTTTCCTCATTAACGTCCAGCACAGAAGCTGTGTGTCGTTTACTACCTTACTGCTATGTATTTGCACTTTTCTGGAATTTGAACAAGAACGTACCTTCTTGGAATACACTAGAGACGCTTAACGCCATAACTTATCGCCTTCTATCGATGTGGTTGGACTTGCTGTTCATTTTCATTAATTCTAAATTCAGTGAGGGACTAGTTAGGTCACTTCTGTCTGTTTCGCTTATAAACAGTCTTGTTAATCGTACATGATTGTCATTATGAATTCGGGAAGTTGGTTTAGCATAATTATTCGTCCCAAGAGTTAAGAATTCGGAATACACAATATATGTTGTGAAATTCATTTTACTAGAAAGGACGACAGAATCCATAATATTTTTTGATTACGATGGACAATCGCAAAGATTTCAATTGCAATGGAGATATCAAGCACAACCAAGAGGAGCGTGCACCTTGCTTGGATAAAAACATGAAAAACAAGAGAAATTCTTTGGATAAAGTTGATGTGACGGTACATTTGTACGATAATACAGGGTGTTCAGGTCCCTGGACTTCCAGAGAAAAATATTTGACTGTTGTGTGTGTTCTCTTGTTCAGTGCTTGTATTGCATTTGTCACCGTGGCTTTTATTCGAGATAACGAAGGTAAGTACCAAGATTCTCTACTGAAAAAGCTTGATTTTAGTTATTGTTTTAAGTCAGGTTACGCAAATTGATGAAATCAAAAATCACAGAAATTGGAAATAATATCTTTGTTAATTAAAACAAGAGTATTATTCAAAGCATTGTTAATGTCAGCAACGACCGAGAAACCACTTTTCAGGTTCTGGAACTTACCTGTCTTACTTGTATATTACTTAAAGCGTCGAACTCGAGAGATTTTTTATAAAGCGGAAAATGATGTTATGCTAGATTATGATTAATTAGGATTAAAACAGTTTAAGACTTGCAAAATATTTAAAATTATGTGTTTTTCATTTGGCAGACAGATGCCAAGAAAACGTAAGGATCCCTGGACAGCATTTTTATAGAATATTTATCGCACCATATTCTTTTAGCTATGGAATTGTTATTGATTCGTTAAATGGCATCTCTGAATTGTAGTTATCTGTTTTACTTACATTCTGTGGCTAATACTGGTCCCTTTCATGCAACATAGTGATAATTCATTACCCTATTATGAAAATCGGTTAGAAGACAATATGTTTTTTATTGGAAGAAAAAGGAGTTAATTTGTGTTGAACATTGTGCTGTTGGCGCATGTTGTCATATGCAAATGATCTTAGATGCCGGTAAAACTAATAAATCTGATTAGGCCTAAAGATTGAATAGGTCGCAGTCAATTTAAATTCACACGACAATTTTGTGCTTTATTTGATGTTAGCTTTTCTTAAGAACTTTTTTATTATTCCTCTACGAAGCAGTTATTTTGCAGGAAAAGTTTCCAATTTAATAGTTTTAATACCTGTTATTTTGCAGATTTATGTTCGCTTGAAAAAAATGTTAATGTACCTTAAACATTGTGTATTTTGAATTATTAACGCATTTTGATTTGACTGAATGCATGAGAGACATGCGGCTATTCGGCCTGGAATAAATTATCCTGCTTCAAATTCTACATGCTTATGAACCCTGACGAGAAATTTGTAAAAAAAAAATGTGTAGAACTAAATATTTTGAATACGTAACCAACCTTCAGTCATATTTATTTGTTACATGTAACTTTATAGAACTTCACCTGACAATAGGATGTAGCTATACAGAGTTCTGCTATACGCTGACTTCTAATTTTATCTTCTTTGAAAACTAATCATAAAGGTCATCTGATCGGAATTCCATCTTCTTAATGTAACCAAATTATCACGTTCCCTGTTATTAAGAGATTGCATTCGTTTCAGTTTTGAATTATGTGCATAAAATTTATAGCTGGAGACATTTTTCTTGACTATTTAGCATGCAGTCGTTAAAGGGTTAGCAATACTGAATTTCAAAAATTGAAATAAAATTGACAATACTACTCTTTTACCATTTAAAAAACCCAGAGGAAATCAAAATACGGAAAAACTGAAGGATTAAATTTTGTTGTCAATAATGTCATGAAGTTAATTTTACATTCTCAATATTGAAAATCAATAAAAGACAATGAAATAATTGTAATACAAATCGTAAATCGTTGAAAAGAAAGTTCGTTATTCATTGAATTGTATCAGATGCATAAGATATAAGGATAAGATGAAGGCAATATGAAAAGCATCTATCCTTCTGTATTCAATATAAATTCAGAAGTAAGAAAATAAAATTAAATAGCTTACATGATCAGCACTAGTCCAAGCTAGCAAAGCAGGTAACAACATTGTTTTTTAAGGCTCATAATTCACATTTTATTTTAGAGGAACTAGGATATAATTCTTCAAGTGCATGGTCAAAGATATACCCATAACTTTTCTAAGCAGGAAATTCTTTAAATTCATATGCCTGTTTTGAATATTTTTAATATTCCCAATAATCAAAACTTGAATAGCCGTAACTATATTGCATTCCATGAAAATCCTCACAAAGATCCATACAGCGAGCTCCAGCAAATGTTTCACCAAGCCCCTTTCTTTTAACTCCTAACTAAAATATTAACAACGATGAAGGAGTACTTCAGGAGTATTGAAGAAGAATATAATTGAGAAATGGTGTAAATCAGATGTGGATAATTAAAAATTCCAAGGAACTTTTGGAAATTTTAAAATCATAAAATCTCACCAAATTAAATAACATAAAAACTTAATACTTTTCAACCCTATATACAACAATTCCCCATGATGTATTGAAGGCCAGGCTTTTAAACATCATGCATTGACAGCTGCTTTTTCAATGAAAATGGAAAAAGTAAAGCACTAACTTTTTCGTTGAATATTGCAAACTTATTGTGTTAAAACATTGTGATCGTACACACAAGTACAAGACTTATTCAAACGAAATATCATTGATAATCCCTATTGCTCTTGTGGTAAACAGGAAGATGCTTATCATTTTTTCTTTGTTTGTAAAAAATACTGTTATGCTCGAAGTAATCTTTTTGAATATCTTTTTCGACTTGATTTAAACATCATAGATGTACACCTACTGCTATGGGGCAACGAAAATCTCTCAATTGAAGTAAACATTGGCATTTTTGCCGCTGTTCATAAATTTATAAACGAATCCTGTAGATTTAGCTAGATATATTATTGACTCTTATTTGTACACGTTTTTACTACTATTTTGCATGACAATTACTATGTGTTTCAAAGAACTAGTAAGTTGTTAGAACTTGTTTCTTGTCCTTTTGCTTGTCAATAAAATATGTTCAAAACAAAATACTCTGATGTTGATATTAAATGCTTACTGGCGTTTTTCTTACTAATTTTTTGGCCACACTATTTACACACTGAATTGTCGACGGATATTTTCGTTATTGCCCGATAATGACAAGGGGCACACGGCGGGTATACCCCTCTGCAGAGGCTGCTATCTTCTCCATGGTACTTGATCCCACTTCTGATGCTTTAGAGGTCCGAATTTGCTCTGCTCCTGATTTGTTGTGTTTAAATGGAATTTTGAGCTTGAATATTGTTCATTATCTCCATATATTTCATCTTTAAAAATGTAGAAATCGACTTATGCACTTATTCTACATTAAGATAAAATATTTCATTGATATCTGGTTCTTTTGTCCAAAATCAATATTACGTTTTTCTTTAAACATAACATCGTATCGGAATTCACCGTCAAAACATTCAATAATAGAGATAAGTTAAAATTTCGAACACCATCATTTCCATGTCAGAACTATAAAGCATGTACGTGTAATTAGATAGAAACTATGTCGTCATGGTAATCTCCTGGAGAAGCGGAAATACTCCGACGACCCTTGCTTTCCGATTTCTTTGTAGTCTGGTGAAGCGATCATATTCCGTTACAATTCTCTCTTTTACAGTTAATGCTACCTTTAATGAATTAATTCTGAGCTTGATTTTATTTTTCTGGTGATAAATGTTGATAAGATTACACTTTTTTCCGCTTCACTCTAGACTCGGAAACGGATCTGGGATTATAATTGACGGAATCGATCGACTCCGATTTATTTTACTGGATACATTAACTTTCCAGATACCACACACCAGACCTCACACCTTCGTGCACTACGTGCTTTCTCCACAAATGCTAAATAAACATTTACAAATTTTTTTGTGACAGATTTTTAACATCTTGGTTTCTACTACGCCAAATTCGGAAATCACTCTAAGAAACTATTTAAATCATTAATACTTTTTTTTCCATTTAATTTGATATAGAAAGTGAGAGGCAAAAATAAAACAGAAGATTATATAAATAAAAGGTTCACATTTTTGCACTTATTCAAATAATTTATTCGATAGAGGAATTATTTGCTTTTTGAAACCTTATCTTAAGAAAAAAATATTGTTCTTATAGAAATATCAAGGCTTAATTAATTGGTCCGTAAAGTGATAACAGTCTTAATTAACATTATTTGCACAGCTTTTATCGAAGAGAGAGAGACATTGAATCTAATTATTGGATAAACACAAACGTTTTTATTTTATCTCATAAAATCCCTTAATCATACTCTAAAAAGAAAAACTTGAACCAGGAAGTTCCTTTACTCTTTTGATTTTTTTTTATCCTACAGCAATTCTTCTCGGTTCATTATGTACGAGGGTTGTCCCGTAAAATCGTGGACAAAGCGTTTTTCTCGAAAAGTAATAGGCACAGTAAGCTGAAAATTTCAGTAAATGTTTATTTATCATATTTAAGTGCATGATTATTTTTTTGATAAAATATAGGCAAAAATAAAGATTTTATTATGCTTGAATGTGCACAAGGTATTGTCCTACGGCGCACGGTCAAAAAACCAAGGATTTATTAAAGAATACACAAGTTTGAATTCAAAATAAAAGTTTTAAATACATAAGATTTGGATTAAAATTATCCTAATTCAATTCCACAATCAATTCTGTAGTCTTTGTAAAAATTTTAAGGCAGCTTAATTTTTGGCAGAGCATTCGAAATGGGAAAGTGGTAAACACAACACACGAAAAATGGCGACGTTTTATGACGTTACGGCGCACCGGAGAACAGTTCAGTTTTATTTCGATGTTGTAATGACACCTTTTGAGACTTAAAATGACCATAGAAGAAAAAAGGTTATAAAAATATCACCATATCTTAAGTATACAAATGAAATAGGAGTTTTCTTAGCGAAGTTTTTTTTTTATCGAGTCCCTGGGAAGTACAAAACATACGGACAGACTCCTAATGTAATAGCAAAAGACGCCGTCACAGTAGACCGCCGATATGAGATTTTCTATTAGTTGAATGATGGTGAGAATATTGTCCGTAACTTACTAATAAATCTTCAGAAGATCGCATGAGGGTGCCAATTGGTTCTTAAGCTGTTTATGGAGACTAAAGAATGTGTATCAATGAAATTCCTAAATTTGATTCTCATCCAACTTCATTTTCAGCAGAGATAAAACGTGACGCTGTTTTAGACACTTTGACGTTATAATCCATGCGCCGTAAGATGATACAATACATGGCATAAAATCTCATAATTTGTTTATTTATGCATATATCTATCTGAAATTTGCTGTGTATATTACTGAAATATGTACTAAATAATAGTGAAAATTTCAGAACGCAGTGATGTTTATTTTTCACACTAGACAACTTGTCCACGATTTTATGGGACAACCCTCGTATTGATCAAGTCATTTTCAATAATTTCTTTTTTGGTAATAACAAAATAAATAATTAAATGTTGCTTTATTGGTAATATTTCAATGTTTTGTGGTCTTATAATAGAGAAAATATGACAAAAGCATGATAACCGTAGATTTGCAACAATTACATCTCAGTAAAATTATTCCGTTTGAAAATTTTCATTTCAATTTTTAAAATACATCCATCTGTGCATTGATAACATTTTTATGCATACATATATAATGACTGTTACGTTTCGATTCTCATAGCTTCATCAAAACCTTTATTGCAGCATGCTTGCACTTAACGACTGAAAAGGTTCAATTAATCAACACTTCTGTATCTAAATTTTCCATTACTTCCCAGCTCCCCTTCTTTGATCTGGAGTTCTTACATACCGCAAGTAAAGACAAAAGGGTCAATTAGTGGCAACATTACAATTTCAATTATCCTTTCAAATAATGCTACCATATAGAATATTACAAAAACGCTTCTAGTTAACCCTAAAAAAGCCTTCAAAAGCCCAAAAAATGCGATCCTTTCTATTCTAAGATTCATTAATCTTTGTACTAATTGCTCTGAATTTACGTATCAAAAGTACAAATGGGAAAAAAACCATATGTTTTTTTTGTAATAATGTTTTGTAACAATGCAACAGCAGGCTCTCTAGAAGATTTGCAATCGACAACATATCGTTAGGCTATCAATCATCCCCTTTATCGAGAAATTAACCCTGTACAAATAGGCTACAGGAATCGATGGGATTAATTCAAAGAAACCGTCCGGTAGACATAAATTAATGATGTGGTCTGCCAGTAGGACCACAGGTGCAATTCCCCGACACTTATCACTGCTCCCAGTTCAATACAATAATATTATTAAATAGACACATTCAGGTCTGTCTAGAAGTTATATTCTCTTTATTGGCTGACTTTTCTCTCATTTTAGACTACACGAACTGATTTGTCACTGATATTTGTTATCTTTTCCTTCAATTGAACAGTAATATACTGAATATTATATATATTGAAAATATAATAAGAAGCATAAATTCTTTCTTTTAAAAGACTTCAAATTTGCCTTTTTAGAATAAATGTGTACATTAAACGTTGATTTAGTTTTTGTCAAAATTTATGCGTTCACAAAAATAACATAATCAAGAACAATTTTCAAACTGTTCTGTGTAAAAAAAATTACATTATATTTATTTAAGGCATTAATGCTAATCGACATAAAGTCATTAGAATGTTCTGTCGTGACAACTGATAAGTAAAATTCTAGAATATCCGCCATGTTAAGAGATGTTACCATCATGCTTTTCAATGAATCGCTGTTAAAGAAAGTCGTAGGACCCCATCTTAAACATTCTTGTAATTCGTCCTGGTCAGATAAATTGTAAAATTCCAAAAAGATAATTCCAATTCCTTGTTTCTCTACATTTTGTCCTTTAGCAATACCTTATTGACATTTCCTCCCACTAGAATAGATGTTTGAATGATTTTTATATGAAACCTTCTTACTTTGATGTTTGAATAGTATAACTTATTCATAACATAACATCCCGAAAGCTTGAAGGCAGTGTTATGGATCATTTTGAGGTTCTTCACGTGGCATTTATCATCGTCATGCAATGAATATTAACATTTGAATTTGTTTGTTTGTGTAGATTATGCTCTTGATCTCTATATTTTAAAAATTCTTTTTATGAATCATTTAATTTATTATTTTTAACTACTAGTATTCTTTTTGTTAGAAAAAACAAATCTTATTTAAAGATAAATGATGCATGTGTTCCTTTTCTTTGATTTTGTAAATTTAAATGTTTGGAAATGTATTTTTTTTTTAAATAATACAAAAGGTTTGCTAATAAAGGGACGCAATGACGGATTGTTTGAAGAACTTTTGAAGGTCCGTTTTACAAAAGAACTTACGACTAAGTCCAAAAAACTTCAGATTATTGTAAAACTTTGCAAAATTAATAATTCTCTTTGAAATTGTTTGTGTAAAATTGTCTCACCACATTCCTTTTAAAAGGTTAAAAATAATTTTTGATATATTGTTCATTAAAAAGTTATATGAAAAATTAAATTTGGTCTTAAGTCGTTAGTCCTTTTGTAAAACGGGCCCCTGGTCATTAACACTACATAGATATTGTCAAAGAGAAACTCAAATACTAGTATCTTTTATGAATTAACTTTATAACTTTAGTGTACTTATTTGTACTATTAGAATGCGTACGGTTCTTGATTTTGAAAACATTTCGTTATTTCAAATTTTTTTTGAAAGTTCTTTTGATTTTTTTTAAGAATACACATCTGATTAACATTACTTCTCAAATATATTATTGTCTAATACTCCTGACATTTTTCTCCTTTACAACTGTTAGTATTTTTGTGTTGAGTAAAGAAAGAGGCTTGGTAGGACACTTCCTGTAACTCGCTATGCAAGGAGTTTTATTAAACAGAGGAATTTAGAAAACCAAAGTGTTTTCTTCTAGTATTTATTAATATTTCGCTCAAAAGGCACCGTGTGGTCCTCCAGTGCACTATTTTTTGTTTCTTTTACTATAAATCTTTGCCTGTGAAAATTTAGAGCAAAATGAAAACCCTTACTCTTATTGGATACATGCTGACTTCCTGACTATCCTTACAGAGGAAGACGTGCTATGTATAATGTACCAGTTCCCCATTACTCCTTCACATTTCCATGATATTTTGAATTTAACCTTTTTTTTTTCATTTCCCCCGAACAGGGATAAATCCAGTTGACATATGAATCAATGTCTACTTAATCCGTAAGAATAATTAATTTGACCTTTTCGTCCAAAAGGGTGTTGTTTGACAGAATGTATTGTCCATCTTTTTCTTATCTCATTTCCATCTAAACCTTTCATATAAAGTATGTAAGTGGTTTATGATTCTGTGTGTCTTCATCATGTTGAAAAATTATAATGAATGCCAGGCCAAAGTAAATGCAAAATTAATACTATGATGCTTAAATTTTACCTTTTTCCCATTATAATATTGATATTTTTCAAAATATATTTGAATAAACATTTGAGTAATTCCTCTAATTTGTGAATGTTCTGAAGATTGATACTGGTCACTTGGTGACAACAATCTCTTTGTAGACTATCTCTAGGAATTCTTTTTTTCTTGTTATATTTCTGAGTGGTGATAGACAATTTATAAATGAGACACGTATTTTTTTTTCGGTATATGAAGAGGTTTTAAACTAAGTATAGTATTCACCTTTTTTCCAATTTGATATCGATAAGTTCTATGGTCGATACAATGTTCTTGTCAGCAATTACAGACTATCATTAAGCTGTACATGTATGCCGATTGACGTTTTTATATAATTGTGGGTGGGGCTATTATTTACACATTGATTTGTCTAAGGATATCCTGATCATGACAAGGAGAACACAGCGGAGAGACCGGTCAACAGGGAGGCTTACTCCTCCAAGGCACCTAATCCCATCTCTAATGTCTTAAAGGTCCGTGTTTGATCTGCTTCCGATTTGATTTGTTTTTATGGACTTTTGAGCTTGATTCCTGTTCGATATCTCTATATTTCATTAAGTCAAAACTAGAAGCTAATAACCATCAAAAACAACCCACAATTCACTTTTAACACCAACAATCCATGGCATCAAGGGAAATGTCGATCAAACAATCTCTCTGAATTGGCGGATCATGTGGGTACTGCTACGCTACTCCGACTTAGAAACTCTTTTGAAATCTATCTTCTGTCTAAAGAAGCAATTAATATCCAATGATGTTGGTACATCAGGGTAATTTCTCAGCGCATGCAAAAATGAACCGTGATGTGGCGTCCACGCAATTTTAAGACATAGTGCTGAGTGCATTCCACACTCAGAATAGAAAAAAATCATTTTGGTCCTGGTTAGCATACATGTACTTATATATTAATAATATCTGGTCTAATAGAATCTAGCTGTCAACTGAGATTTTAAGAAAGTCTAGACTAAAACTTATTCGGACCATAAAAGTTTGTGTGTACTTTTCGTATAGTATTTTGATTTCCTTGTGCAAGTATATAAGTGAAAAAATTAACCCCGAACCCTGATCTGTACCATAATTGAAATTTTATGTGCTCATTAACATACAAAATATTTTGAATCATTACTGCATTAATAGACTTCTGACATGCTTTTGTAGATCATGACTGTTTTATAATCCATTAGAATTAATTTATGAAACCAAAAGGTTAAGCGTTGTATTCAAGTGAAGGACCCAGGAAGTCGTGAAACTATAATGACAGTTGTGCCTTGTCAATGTTACAATTAAATGCGCAGTACTCATTTTCCATTCATTGTAACGCAAAGAAATGAAAATCTTTTTGTTCATAATTAAGCATTTTGTTTTTTGTAGAAACCACATCAAACGTTTGTTTAACAAAAGACTGTATCGAAACTGGTAAGTCAGCATAAATACATTTATTACCATTTCACATATCCCTGAAAAGTAGTACATGCACTTTGTACATCGGTTATTATATAATTTGGACAGTTAACTGTTGACATGGCATAATTTTTTGCGTAGGAATAATTTACCTAAGTATTCGGTAACAAGCTCTTCGTAGAAATTTGTCACAGCATGCTTTATGTGCAATTAAGACAAAAAAATGGAAACCCAACCTGCGGATTAATCAGAAATTTATTTGATTCCGCGTATATATGACTCCGCGGATAAAAAAATATAGTAGTCATTCATTTGTATTCAAATATTATAGTAACACTCATACTTCTTAACGTTCAAAGGGGGTTATACATTATATGTACCCTTATAAAGTGTTCATGCTTTACTTAGGATTATAAAGTGTTCATATATTACACTTGCAATTATAGAGTGTTCATGCAGTACACTTAAACTTGTAAAATTTTTCCAGTGTTACAATTTCGATAATAGAATGTTGATATATCACACTTACAATTATATAGTGTACATATATTACACATTACACTTAGACTTGTAAAATTGTTCCAATGTTAGAATTTGATAATAAACTGTTGATATGTTACACTTACGACTACGAAGTTTTCACTTGTTTAAAGGTAAAAACTTTATGTTTTATGTTAATAATTTTTATGTCTCTAAGTGTTAAATTATAATGCAGCGCATACGTAAGATATCAAATATTACAGAAAAGAAGTTAATTTTGAAATGCAACACTGGTGTAATCAATTAAATTTGAAAATATTCCATGACATTGTTAATTGTATAGTATGAGAGTTTACAGTCTTTTCAACACTTTACACTATATTAATATTTAACATATTACACTAGTGTAGTTTGTGTCTCAATTTACTGTAAGTCTAAATGTTTAAATTGCATTTTTAAATGTACCTATAAATAATTTTTTAACTATAACAGTGACTTATTCACCACAAAGATGCAATTCATGTGTTCAAATATGAAACGATTCATTACACATTGAAATATTATTTTACGTGGGTTATTCAAAAATACGTAGACATGTTATTTCCCTTTTTATCATATTATTTTACAAGATTTAAAATCAACAAGTTTTCAGATGTGAAACAATTTTTGGACAATATTTAGTTTCTTTGTATATCTTTAACTGGAATTCATGTTTTTAATTTCAAAACCATTATGTTTGTTACCTCGGAGCACACTTATCACATTGTAACGTCAAAAACAGCGTGGAAATTTCTTAAAATTACTATGCCATACAAGGTTTATTGAGGTTTACCCATTCATGAAAAATCTACAACACTTGATATCTAATTTGCCAACAATTTTTTGAGTAGATTGAATTAATTAATCAGTTTTCAAGCCGCGTGACTCTTCTTTCACAAGCTCCACAACAAGTATATACTTTCTTTCCATGATGTTATTCTTTTGACCAGATTTTTTTCTCCGCAGAACATTCATAGTCCGAATCATATAAAACTTTTCCAATTGTTTACAAATGCATGGATCATTTTTGGTATATTTCTTGTTTTTTCTGGATTTTAGTCGTTTTTTAAAGACAATTTCCAAATGCAAAACAAAAGTTTAGTTCTTCTTGCTGCTACCATCTGGTATTTCCCCTTCTTTAAATTAAGTTTTCTTGTCTTTAGATATTGATGTCTTTTAAACGAAGCAATGTATAATTTGTAAATCATTACAATTAAGCATCTTTAATTATATAAGAAATTAAGAATGCTAAATTTGAGCACTTAAATATTACCATTTTAGCGCTACTTATCAAAGCTACAGACACTATAACAGCCTTTCTAATCTTAAATTTTAAATAAGTTGTTTTTCATTTTTACCAAATAAAAAAAACTTTTAAAATTTATTTTTTTAATTTATTGTTAGAATATATCTACATAATTTTCATCATTATATCTTAATAATTAAACAAATATGAGAAAATTCTATGTATTTTTAATAACTCTCTTAATTGCATATTTATTTGTTTATCTACCAAAATTTAGAAAGGATGCTCCCAAACAGAACAAAGGTGAAAGAAATTTAAAAAAAATATTTTGAATGTTTAATTTTTTTCATTCGATAGTTGACATTTTTGTAGCATCATTCACTGTCATATAAAACGCGATCTGATTATCAACAACAAACATTTTTATTCTTATCCAAGGGCAACGTTTGAAGAAATTCATTTTGATAAAAAATAAATCCAACTTGATTGGCAGTAAATGTTTTAGGATTATCTAGATCAGATTGACGTTAATTTATTTTTCAAGGACACACCCTTGGAGTCCAGAGATGTCCTTGTCTTTTTTTACAAGACTCTGAACCAGACGTTTTATTCCATAAGTTCTTTACTACACAGCTGAAGGGTAACGATAATTTGCTTCCAACAACCTTTTAATCGGACATTTAAAAAAAAATCAAGTCTTAATTGATAATAGTTCTCTAATAATTCGGTGGCCCTACCTCCTGATCGTGAAGACCATTATCCAGGTATCCTTTGGCAATATACTTAGCAAAATCATTTTTCTACAACAACCACTCCAAATTGATGTTTTTCTCTTTGATCATGGCCTAGTTAGTCAAATATTCCCTTGACATTGTTTTTTAATTATCATTGTCAACTTAAAAACATGTAGACATAACTGTGGTTTTTTATCCTTTGATTACTGGTAATAGAGCACTAAGTACTGACATCTATGGTTCTGTTATGCCATTAGCTTCCCAGCTCCTGGAGTCTATAGACCCATCCGTAGACCCCTGTCAAGACTTCTATCAGTATGCCTGTGGCAACTGGAACAAAAAACACATCATTCCTGACGACAGACCAAGCTTCAATACATTTGAGAAACTTCATGATGACTTGCAAATTAAACTCAGAAGTAAGGAAGCCTACATATATATAAATTATTACAAAACTTATAATTATCAAATTTATTTATTATCAGCATTTTCCCTTATTGCAAAGAGGAGGTATGAAAATTTATTTAGAAGTTTCTTTTATTTAAATGAGTGAATTTAATTTGAAAAAATGTATGAATTGAGATTTTCTTAGAAAAAAAAACACTAAATGAAAATATGAAGTTCAAAACGTCGTTATGTTGCTTTTTTTTCTTTGTTCAGGCCTATTAGAAGAAAGAGAACAGAGTTATGATAGCATAGCAACATCAAAGGCCAAGAAGTTATACAGATCATGTGTAAACACAAGTAAGTTTTATCTTAACGAATAAGAACAGAGTCGTTCAAAAGAAGACATCAACTTTCATATAATTTAAAGAGTGTAATACGTATTCTTCAATACATTATGTAAACTGGATTTTTTCCTTCTTCAAGTCCTTGCTTCTGATACATGGCTTGTTTCCCTGTCATTTCCATTTAAGACTGTCATTAGCAGAATATTTTGTAGCCAAGAAACCTTCAAAGACACCGTCATTAGGTTACGGGTTCATCTGTCGTGTCTTGCAAAATGTACTCACTTTGTATCTCAGTCCTCAATTATTTTTTTTCTATTCCACTTCAACATTTTTTAAATTAATAGAATGTTAATCTTGGTGGGAGATAAATCAGTCTTAATCCTGTACAGAAAACGATGGAAGCTTCCTGATGAGCTTCGTCAAAGAAATTAGTTGGATTAGGAAGGCCCATAGAATCTATAATGATGGTATCATAGCGCTATCGTTAAACGTTTATGTGTGCTTTATCAGAAGGGGGCCATGTATTCAGGATCAATATTAATACGATAAAGTGCAATATGCTGAATTCAATTATGAGAATTTTAACACGTTACCAGAAAATGTTATTGGCAGATTATTTATGAGGGTTATTATTAAAGAGGGAACACCATACATTATGCATACATTGATATGGTTATAAAAAGTTTCAAAGTGAGAAGAATTTAACTGCGTTATTATGATTTCTTCTAGAAAGAGTATTATGAAAAGTAGGAAAGCTCCTTGACATTGTATCAATAAACAAAATGCAGATATTATTTTTGCTAGAAAATTTTTTCTATGACGGCTTTTTAAAAACTGCTTTGCAATCTTATTTGATTTTCGATTCATACCTAAGAGATTATGAATATAAAACAAAAAAATGTTTGAATACTTTATGAGAATAGACGAATGTATGATCATTGGCATCGAAACAGAATATTGTTTAAATAGATTATAATATAGTATTTCCGCCAGCATTAAATTAAAGATTCCAAGACATGATTTAGCTAAAAAACTGTATCGTTATGGTTTTATGTATTAGTCTATGATCTTAATGCTACGGATCCCGCAATGCAAGTAAGATGCAACTTACAAGATTTTCTGCGCACTTTGGAGGAGAATTTTTCTACTTTCTAGCATTGGTCAATCAACTACCTTTCAGTCCCTTATTCTAGACACATTCTTTAACCAAACTTCAGCATCTAAAATAGTCAAATTAGTAAAATTTACATTTAGTTGTTTCTACTGAAAAAACACAATAAGATTCATTTTTTGTTTTGATGTTTTTGTGATATAACACTACTGAAAGCAGCTGTTTTTATAACTTTAAATACATTACGGGAACTGAAGCGTTTGGATGGTGAAATCTCTGTGTGACGTCATAAAATATATAATACATGCTGTTGGGTTTGAAAAATAACGCTACACAATCAGCAAATTTTAAAATAAGTCACAAATGTAAAGTAAAATTTACATTTAGTTGTTTCTACTGTAAAACCCCTTTGACACAGTTATCGTATATAGATGGTTCTTTGCTAAAAATTCCATTATTTGAAAATGTAATTTGATTACAGGTAGAATTGAGGCAGTTGGTGATGCGCCATTACGTCGTGTGATTTCACTACTGGGGGGTTGGCCAGTCGTCGAGAAGAGCTGGAAAGGAGATAACTTTATCATAGAGGACGTTTTGGGTCTAGTGAGAGCTAATTTTACCAGCAATATCATCTTGTTTTGTTCTGTGGCGGCCGACGACAAAAATTCAACGTCTAATATAATACAGGTTGTCACCTTTTCTGACAGCTTTTTATAATTACAGTTCTTTTTTTTAAATGGAACAAACTTGAAATAGGAATCTGATATATATTTTTAAATAAATCATCCAAAAAATATATAAATCATGCTAGAGCGACAGCTGTAGGAGTAAGACGGTGCATCGTAAACACTGTAGATATAGTTATTTTAGTAGATTATTTAGGTCTAAGAAACTTATATCTGTTTACGATATATGACACGGTAACTAAGGATGTCATAAGCGCACTTTTACTTGCCACCCATTACGAGTCAGCTTTATATTCTATATACTGACGTATTGTTTTGATTTCACGAAAGTAATGCACTGTTAGATAACAACTCTATTAGAAAAAAGCGAAGTAAAATGAAATAGAGGGTTCATTTAAAGTTTTCTTTGAAACATATGTTAATTACTATCTAGAAATGTTTTGATAAAAGAGAATTTAATTATATTTTTTTTTTCAAATAGTTTAACAATAATATAATCTTATTATCTCAGCTATTTATATATCAAGGGCACTGAATATTTTACAAACATATAAATAAACTTTTTCGAAGAATGATTTCACATCTTTAAGTTGATTTATCTTTGTGGTAAATCTTTGCAAAATTAAGATGAATTTGTCCAAATTTTGGGATATGTTAAAACAAACTAAGCATCTATATTACGGCAAACAAGGTAAACAACTTAACGAATACATCATCTCTCTAGTTACAATTTCTTATTTATAAGGTGAATTAAGATATCGGTGATCAATCTCATAAATATCAAGTAAAGAGTATGAGTCAGGAACAGTTTAAAAGCACTGACCTCTAGAAATACCATAGGCGAGATCAGGTGACCATGAGAAGAAAGCATCCTTCCTTGACTAATTTACCTTTACCACCTGCAGGGATTATATCTCTCGGCTGATTCGATATTCAAGAGCATATGCTCAACGTATGAAATATTTTCAAAACGAAATAGGTTATTGACAAACTAGTTGTCGAAACAAGATTATTATCAGTCTTGTTTCAAGTCATCATTTCGTAAGTTCTATGATCGATACATGACCTTGCCAGCAAAAACAGTCTATCATTTAGTCAAATGATGTTTGACGTTTTTCATACTTATTGTCAGACCATTGTTTACACACTGACTTGTCGACGAATTTTTCCGTTATTTCCCGATCATGACAATGAACATCGGGCGGATGTGACCGGTTGGCAGGGGATGCTCACGCCTCCATGGCACCTGATCCCGCCTCTGATGCCTCAGAGGTCTGTGTTTGTTCTGCTCCTGATTTTAATCCTTTAATAGACTTTTGAGCACGAAACGAGATTTCTGATGTTCTTGTTTCATTAACTTCTTTGTCAATACGTAGGGTATATAGAAACGACTGTAAGATGCAGATAATGAAGGTATATTGCTGACTAAATACGGGAAGTTGACGATTGAAAAGTTAAAGCCGTCACGTTAATCATAAAGCTTGATTGTTAGATTGCCATTAACGTTTTTTTTTCTAGTAAAATATCCAAATATGAAAAGATATGACAGACTCTGTGGTATCTTTAAAATTAAACTCAAGCATCTCCTTATCATCAACTTCAGTGTACTTGTGTTTAAAATCAGAATGTATTGTATCAACTTGCTACAATATTATCGTGGTATTTGCTTTCAATAACAATTAAATGATTCTGATATTTTTGGTGTAGATAGATCAGCCCGACTTTGGGATGCCCAGTCGTGAGTACTTCCTCCATGACCCGGGATCTGATTATATCCAGGCCTATCTCCAATACATGACGGATACTGCTGTATTGTTGGGGGCAACTCGATCTGATGCAGAGAGGGAAATGAGAGAAGTGTTCCAGTTTGAAACCAAAATTGCTAATGTAAGAAAAAATTACATTAAAGGAGAAATTTATTCCAAAAAAAAGATTCTAAGGTTTGATGCAATAATTGAAAAATGACTTCACTGAAATGATATCAAAAAAAGTCCATTTTGACATTGAAATGGAGATTCAAAAGACATTGAAGATTTAAGCAAAATCAATTATCTTTAGTTTAGTACATAGTAAATAAAGTAGTATTTAATATCAAATTGCAACCTTGAACAAGGATCAGTATTTTAAAGTTTAATAACTAAGGGCATCTTCATAAAAAGTGTCCTCCCCCGACCGACTGCTGTAAATTTACCTATTTTCGTGGTTTGATGAAAAAATACTGTTGCGCTGGGTTTTTATTTTGTGAATAAAGAATTGTTGAGTATTGATATAGGTATGTATAAAAAAAAAAATTAAATTTCGTGGTGGACATTTAAATTTGCGTGTCTCTTCCTACCTCGAAAACAATCAAAAGTAACCTCCCACGAAATTTAATGATTTCACAGTTTCTAAAAATGGGCTCAAATTTTTTTTTAAACTAAAACCCCCAAGACCTGATTAAAAAAAGTTCTTTCCAGAGTTTTCTCATCCCTGTCAACAATCATTTATTTTATTGATACTTTCAAATTCCATAAACGTTGATAGGTTTGCATTGATGTTTAAATGTTATGATTTTTTTTTTCGGAAGAGGTTAAACACTGGTAAATACCATTTTCTAAAGAAATGATCTTACGTAACAGAAAGAATATATATATATATTTTTCATGTTGTATTTCAGATAACAAAGCCATCTTCGGAGAGACACGATACTGGAGCTATCTATAACAAAATGTCGATTGGAGACCTCGCCAAAGATGTACCCAATGTAAGCTTAAAGTCAGGCAGATGCTTAATGCATTTGTCAAGTACTAATAGTTTAACTATCATGTTATGTATTTCTTTGTTACGCGAAGTGATTGTGCTACTGTCGATAATAACTAATCTAGCAGAGATACTAGAAAATGTTATTACATGCAGGGCCATTAATCATAGGACTGACATACTGCTGTTTTTTCCGTTGATATCAATTCAGTATTAATCTCACTTGGATATCATTTTAAACACATTGGCTATATTATTTTGTCATAATTAATCGAATGCTATCATTATACATAGAAAAAACAACATTAATGTTATCACGGTATTTGTATTGTTGACAGTTATGAGAAATGATTCTAAAACGATAATGAGAGAATAAAAACTTTATCTAACAAATCAACGATGTATTCAACTTAGGGAGAATCAATATTGTTTGATATCTTTATATTTTGTGAAAAATGAAAAAAAAACAAAAAACAAATTACATGAACTTAATGCTAAATAAGGTAAAAATCTTTAAATTTAATATTCAGTGTACATCTACATAAGAGCGCTATACTAGCAATGCTTATTTTCCTTCTCTATAAGAGTTGAGTCATTAATTAATGATAAACGTCAAGATAACGAACTTTGTGAGGAGTCATAAATCTGGGACCCCTACAAAATCCAGAGGTAGGATGAGGTGGCTACGAGGAGTAAGAATCTACTGTCGACTGGTCACACCCACTGTGAAACATTTTATTTTTTGATCAGAAAGACGGAGCAATCCGAAGTAAAATTAAGTTTGAAATCTAGTCAATGGCTTAACAGAAGATATGAAAAAGGCAAATTCTGTTTTGGGTTGGGTGGACTCTACTAGCACTCGATTGTTTTGGATTGTCTCTAAGATTATGTACCGGGTTCAGCGAGGTAGATAACTACACTGAGCCGTAATTCATGGTTCATTGTACATTTGCTACTTTTAATCGAATGTTCGGTTTGGATTGTGTGTTTGTATGTTTTAAAGGTGCATGGACACAGATTTGAAGTTGATATTTTCTGTATAATATTACGACTTATATATTTTAATAGCATTTCAGCCTTTAATGTAAAAAGTGAAGAAATGAAGAGTGGTTAATCTTTAAAAAGTTAAAAACAAACACAAAATGTGAAGGGGGCATAAAACTCTACAAATTTAAGAGTAGGGGTCAGGTACCACTGAGAAGTAAGCATCCCCTGTTGATTGGTCACATTCTCTGGGAGACCTATTTATTGATTGAAAACCTACATCAGTTTATAATTGTACAGTATCCTATATTTTTTTGTAGTTTCAATGGTTGGAATACTTTTCAAAGTTCATTCCTTATCAACTGGGCTACAAAGAAAATCTGGTATCATTTGCTCCAGAATATATGAAAGATATGGCTAAGTTGTTGGAAGTCACCGACAAAAGGTATATTTGACTTATTGTATTTTGATTAACTATTAGCTATATGCTTCTTAATTTATGCTGTAACCTTAGTGCACAATAGGAACATTTGATTTACAGAATTATAGCCAATTATGTAGTTTGGAGAGTAGTATTAGAATTCCTACCCGACTTACCAGAAATTTACCAGAAGGTTCGCAGAGAATTTCGAGCTAAATCACAAGTGAGTACCTGGTATTTTTTTAAATTGATATCTTAACTATAAGTTTATGTTGTTTTTGATATCCATAGAATTTGCTAGTAGAAATCTTGAATTAGTGAATGACAACATTTTCTATCAAACACTGAATTGCCCTTGAAATTGTAGACTTTTTGGGTACCAACCACTGATTTCATCTTACAATATACCGGTATTTTGGCCATTACAGTTGATTGCTTTAAATCATACTTAATCACAGAGAAAAAAATTTTTGGAATATAATTTTTTTAATTCACATAGCAAAACTTTGTAATTGAAAATTATTTAAGGATTTTAAACTTAAAATAATATTAACAAGAGTCTGTTAAAATTTATTAAATTTCAGGGAATAACAAGAGATAAACCAAGATGGCAGAAATGTGTTGAATTGACAAATGACGATATGGGGATGGCAGTGGGCGCCATGTTTATACGAGAGAATTTCAAAAAGGAAAGTAAAGATGCTGTAAGTGACTGAAAATTATAGACTTTTTAAAGAAGTAAAAATATAAGCCAATGGGATGTATTTGATGGAAAGGGAATTGTAATAAATCAAAGCCATTAGCTGTTCGTGATATTTTTGAAGATTTTATTTAAAGTACTTGCTGTTTGTTATTATAGTTTCAATATCTTGTAATCTTTTAATGATGTTCTGGTACTTGTACTTAACAGTCATGTCAAAGTAGAGAATTGGAAAACATGTTTTAAAATGATTTTCTTCATAGAATGTGATATGACTTTTAGCAAGGAGTCAATTTCGTTTTATAGGCACTAAATATGATTCACAATTTAAGAGAAGCTTTTAATGAACTTTTGGATGAAAATGACTGGATGGATGCATCAACTCGTAAAGTAGCGAGAGTTAAGGTACATATATCAAGCTGATTTCATCAATATTTGTTAAATAGTGAGATTTAAGGTACATATCATTATAAAGCAATATTTATAAAATGACAAGACTGTAAACACTTTTAAATCCAGGTTTTAAGATTGTATTATGGATGTTTCTTACGAATATTTCAGAAATCCATACAAACTAAGAACATGCTGGGATTGAATAAATAGATTGAAATGCATACTTTTGCCAAGAACATTTCTTTTTTTCTGATAGGCATATGCAATGAATGAAAGAATTGGCTATCCTGATTTCATTAAAAATGAATCAAAACTGAACAATAAGTACGGAGATGTAAGTATTTCTATAATTAAATTCTAGTTTGATTTTCTTTTACATGTGTCATTTGAAGAATTTTTATTGATTATATATGATTGAAGGGAAAAATAGAATGTTACACAATTGTTTGATAAAATCACTATATTTTTCTGAAGTTAATGCTTTAAGTTTTGTACATGAATGTGATAAGAAGAATTTTTGACAGGAAATTTCTCTATCATAAAGAGTCTTCTGGTAAAAGCATTCTTTAAATGAAAAATAACCCTTAATTGTTCTTACTACCCCCAGGAAGCAAAATGTAATATACACGTACATACAAATTAAGCTTAAATTATACATCAAATTGATATCCTTTCATTGACAGTTAAATATAGGTCCGGAGTATTTTTCTAATCTGATGAATATCAAGAGATATGAAGTGGCATCTGTGATGAAGAAACTTCGAAAACCCGTAGATAAAGATCAGTGAGTCTGAAGGAAATTATCAATCGATACCTGAAATTCTTCTTTAAATACAGGAAAATAATTAAGGAGATTCTAAAATAAGAATCATGCAATTCAATGTTATTAATCATATTGTTGTTGCATTATTTTTATTATGTATAAACACTCATGTCCAACAATAAGTTTAATGTCTGAATTTCAGATGGGAGCAAGATCCTGCAGTAGTAAACGCATTTTACAATCCTAACACAAACGACATTGGTAAATATCACTATTTATTGTAAACCAATGTGTGACAATCAATTAAAAACAAACTACATAATAAAACTGCACAGGTCGAATTCAGAAAAAATTATGTTATTATCTTTTTAATATGAATAGGTTCTAGTTTCTTGGAGGTTCTTGACTTCAATCCTAGTTGTCCGAACCTTGACAAATTGGTTTCTTAACAGTTTTGATATTTCGTCTTTTTGATGATAAGATCTTTTTTCACAGTTTTTCCTGCCGGAATATTACAGCCTCCGTTCTACAGTGATCGGTATCCGAAGTAAGTTAACGCCTTCATTATCAAAACCTAGAAACTCTCTGGTTTTTATATGTATTATACATCTCTATTTCTGAATAGGACGTACGTTGAGTGTTTTTATTCAAAGAGGTTTTTGGTATCCATTTCTTCTTAATTTAAGCATATTTGGCGCATTAAATTTCCGAATAACGCGAATTTGTAAACAGAAAAAAATGGTTTACTTTATTTACAATTCCCTTATTATGCCCCCCTTCGAAGAAGGGAGGGCATATTGCTTTGCTGCTGTCTGTCGGTCTGTCGGTCTGTCGGTCCGTCGGTCTGTCGGTCCATTCAGTTTCCGTTCATTTTCTTCATAACCGTTGCCCATACTGAAATGAAATTTGGTATACAGATATATCACATGAATATCTAGGCCAAGTTCTGTTTTGGGTACGATCACACCATTTTTGACAGAGTTATGCCCCTTGGACTTGGAAAAATTTCAATTATTTGCAGTTTCCGCTCATTTTCTTTGCAACCGTTGCACATACTGAATTCAAATTTGGTATACAGATATATCACATGAATATCTAGGCCAAGTTCTGTTTCGGGTACGATTGCACCATTTTTGACACAGTTATGCCCCTTGGAGTTTGAAAAAATTTCAATTATTTGCAGTTTCCGCTCATTTCCTTTGCAACCGTTGCACATACTGAATTCAAATTTGGTATACAGATATATCACATGAATATCTAGGCCAAGTTCTGTTTTGGGTACGATCACACCATTTTTGACAGAGTTATGCCCCTTGGACTTGGAAAAATTTCAATTATTTGCAGTTTCCGCTCATTTTCTTTGCAACCGTTGCACATACTGAATTCAAATTTGGTATACAGATATATCACATGAATATCTAGGCCAAGTTCTGTTTTGGGTACGATTGCACCATTTTTGACACAGTTATGCCCCTTGGAGTTTGAAAAAATTTCAATTATTTGCAGTTTCCGCTCATTTTCTTTGCAACCGTTGCACATACTGAATTCAAATTTGGTATACAGATATATCACATGAATATCTAGGCCAAGTTCTGTTTTGGGTACGATCACACCATTTTTGACAGAGTTATGCCCCTTGGACTTGGAAAAATTTCAATTATTTGCAGTTTCCGCTCATTTTCTTTGCAACCGTTGCACATACTGAATTCAAATTTGGTATACAGATATATCACATGAATATCTAGGCCAAGTTCTGTTTTGGGTACGATTGCACCATTTTTGACACAGTTATGCCCCTTGGAGTTTGAAAAAATTTCAATTATTTGCAGTTTCCGCTCATTTTCTTTGCAACCGTTGCACATACTGAATTCAAATTTGGTATACAGATATATCACATGAATATCTAGGCCAAGTTCTCTTTTGGGTACGATTGCACCATTTTTGACACAGTTATGCCCCTTGGAGTTTGAAAAAATTTCAATTATTTGCAGTTTCCGCTCATTTTCTTTGCAACCATTACAAATACTGAAATCAAATTTGGTATACAGATATATCACATGAATATCTAGGTCAAGTTCTGTTGTGGGTATGATCGCACCATTTTTGACAGAGTGATGCCCCTTGGAGTTTGAAAAAATTTCAATTATTTGCAGTTTCCGTTCATTTTCTTTGCAACCGTTGCACATACTGAGATGAAATTTAAAATACAGATTAATCAGATGAATATCTAGGTCAAGTTCTGCTTTGGGTACAATCGTGCCATTTTTGATAGAGTTGTGCCCCCTTGGACTTGCAAAAAAATTCCAATTGGGGGGAGGGGGGCATAAGTGTTTTACAAACATCTCTTGTTTTTCAGATAGCTTCTGAAACATATTCCTGTAAAGAGTTTCGAATTTATTCATAAATGATGCTTTTTAAGAATTAAGTTTTTGTAAGCAGAGCTGAATATGGGACATTGACTTAAATTTTATTTTTTTTATTTTTTATTTTTATTTTTTTTTTTGACATCTTTTAAGAAAAAAGAATGTCAAGATTTAAAAAATTATATAAAATACATTTAGTGGATGAAAATATTTTCTTCAGTTAGGATAATGTCTTAAGATTAAGATACAAAGAAAGTAATTAAATACCCTCTGTAATGTTTTTATTCTGCTGAATAGATCTTTAAACTATGGTGGGATTGGTGTAGTAATTGGACACGAAATCACGCATGGATTTGATGATAAAGGTAAACTTTAAATAAGTTTGGTAAAATAACTGACATTTTAAAAAGGATAAATAAAAATACAATGAGCAAGTAAAGCTTATTCTTAATATATAATATATAGATACTTTATATAAGACAGACCACCTGCAGTTTCATTTAATAACAATTAAATATTCTCAAAGAAATAAGTTAATTTCAATATCACTCTGAAAATTGGAAGATTAGAGTAAGCTATAGCATTCATTGGTGTGACTTTTATTACCAGGTCGACAGTATGATATGACGGGAAACTTAAAGCAATGGTGGAAGAACGATACAATTGAAGCCTTCAGGTCTAGAGCCCAGTGTATGATTGATCAGTACTCCAACTACAAACTGGAACAGATAGGTCTTAATGTAGGTCAACTAAACTAGAACAGATAGGTTTCAATGTAGGTCAACTAAACTGTAACTTATAGGCCTTAATGTAGGTCAACTAAACTGATATAGATAGGTCTCAATACAGGTCAAATAAACTGGAACAGACAGATCTCAATAGACCAACTGAATTTGAACATATAGGTCTCAATGTAGGTCAAGAAAATTGTCCAACATGTTAAATTATCACTTTCTATAATCTTTTAATCTCTTTGACAACCTTTTGTTTTTGAAGCATAGTTAAGAGATTATTTTTCTGGCGCGGAAAATATTGTCTGACGCCTAAAAGACTAATTCTCTTCGATCTTTGAATAAGCAATTTACATTTGAGTGAATGTTGCTCATTATTACTGCATCCACACAGTCAAATAAGTACTGTAGAATTTATTTATATTCATGAGTGCCTTTCTTGTAGATTGCTAAATCTTAGCAGGTTTGTCAGAGGAACTGAAATAAAAAGAATATAAAGTATATACACAGTGTATAGAGAATGTTTTGTGAAGTTACACATTTTTTTATATTCTCTCCACCGGCAAGTGGTGGCGTCTCCATATGAGTGGAAAAATTTTCGAGGGGGACGTTAGATAATATACAATTAATCAATCAATCATTTATTTGATCCCATAAAATCTATATCCTCGGTGAGATAAGAACGAGTCGCTTTAAATTTGTTCATAGAACATTCTGTTCATAGAACTAAATGGGGCTTTGCATCGTGCATCTGCATTTATAACGAAATTAAATACAATATACTAGCAGTTACCTGTTAATTTTAAAATAACCGTTGTTCGTGGGTTTATGCTCTTTGTATGAACGTTTAAAATATATTTTAGATTGCATTGTTAAATTGTTTTAGATTGATGGAAAAAATACACAGGGAGAAAACATTGCTGATAACGGAGGACTCAAACAGGCTTATCGGGTAGGTTATAAAACACAATTATGCAGCAGATAATTTTAAGTCTATGTTTGAAAAGAAAATAACAATACATTTTACATACTCCTCTATTACTAAGGCGTACAAAAAGTGGTTTGAGAAGTATGGACCTGAGAAAGATCTACCTGGAATTGGTCTCTCTCACCAACAGTTATTTTTCCTCAACTACGCACAGGTAAAACTTGATTCTGATATTACTTGTTTAAAAAATCTTAACTTATTGATAATGATAGAAAGAAAGAAAGAGGAGAGGAACCAACTTATCTTAAAATTTTGACTTAAAACTTTGGGATCTCACTCGCATTTTTTGAAAAATATCTTTGATGCTTTTTTCTACACATCATAGCCTATTGTTGTTTCAAATAAATCAGTTATTCTTTTTTGATATTTTTCATTGCATCACACCATAGAGTAAACTTAAGTATACGAAAAAGCCCTTTATAAAAAGATCACTTCAATATATAATCAACCCTCAATACAATACTTTATAAATTTTTAATAATTTTTTCCGTTGAATATAACAATTAAAAAGAATTTCTTCTAAAATTATTTAATTCTTGATTGTTATACATATATTTTATTCATAACTGTCTAATAACTAACTGAAGAAAGAGTTGACCAAATACATATAAGCTAAGAGGCTTGAAACTATGCAAAAACATGTGCAATTAAATATATGTGTCTAATAGAAGTAAGTCGATTCTTAATTTGTGCCTTCGGTTGTTTATTTTATTGTGACTATGACAAGCAAATCACTTCATTTCAATATTTCGAATTGTTTTCATCAAAATATTGAAATATTAAAACAGTCAGTTACTGAATAAATTGCTGTTCGGAAGGTCTTGAGTTCGAATCTCGGCCACGACTGACCTAAGTCGATAAAAAATGGACTACAACTATTCATTCGCCATGCGCTCGGCACTTCTAGTGAAAGTTGCGGGTCCTTTGACTAAGACTTTGAAAAACGAGGCCCCGTATCACGGTAGACGTTGGCACGATTAAGATCCCTCACTGCTCATTGGCCGTAAGTGCCCAGTAAAGGTCAAAATTTGGACCCTCATCGGTATATGCTGACGTCTCTATATGAGTGATATATTTCCGACTGAGGCGTAAAATAACATACATTCCATCAATATATTGCTTATGCAGTTGGGACCTGTACATTATTTTATATTTCTTACGAAAAAATGTAATGGTTTGAAAAAGTATACGTATTCATAGCATATGGATATCTAGTGTTATTAAATGAACATTTAGCAGTTTGTATTACACAATAATATATTTCTCTTTAATTATACAAAAGAGACTAAATATACAATAGTAATACTAAGCTTAACGATAAATATCAGTATATTGGAGGGTTCTGCTGAGACCTATGTTGTAAAATCCCTCAATTGAGCACTGTAGAAGATTCAGGGTAGATTTTATTGTGTAATGAATTTTATGGTTAATGGACCGTGCTTTATATTTAAGATCTGGTGTGGAAGTATGCGTGATGAAGAAGCACTAGAAAAAATAAGGACTTCAGTTCACAGTCCGGGATCAATAAGGTAAACCGGTAACACTGAAAGAGTTATAACCCATTACATTCTTGTCATTGAAAGATAGATAACTCCTTCGGTTTTCTTGAAGTGCTTCATTTCTTTAAAATATGACTCTTTCTAGAGATAACTGAAATCTATAGACAGTTTGTTTTGGAATAAATATTAGCTCATTTTCACCAGAAAGCAAATTTTTAAAATGCTTTAAAAGAAGGCGTGTTATAATATCAGGCCTTTTACCTTAACAATTTTGAATAAGCTGATTGGATACAATTTCTTAAATTGTTACAATGAGAAACATTTCATGCAATTGTGGATACTCAAAAATTCCAAAGAACTTTTGGACAATTTGAAATCACAGGATTTAACCAAAATCAACAGCTTAAAACCTTACGACTTTTTAACTTTATACACAACCATTCCCCACGATAAATTAAAGTCCAGGCATTTTGATATCATTGACAGCTGCTTTTTCAATAAAAATGGAACTCGTTAATTTACTTACTTGGTCATCGGTCATTTGCAAAATTATTTTGTTAAAACACATTCTGATTGCACACACAAATACTCTGAAGTTGACATCAGAAAGATGTTTGAGTTTCTGATTGACAATATCTATGTGGTTTTTGGAGACCAAATCTTCCAACAATCTATTGGAATTTCCATGGATACCAATTGCACCCCGTTATTAGCAGACCTTTTTTGTATTCATATTAAACATAATTTGTGCAAAATCTTATGCGTGAAAAGACGAAAACACTTGCTGTGGCCTTCAACTCGACATTTAGATATATCGACGACGTATTGTCAATTAACAATGGTTGTTTCCATTCCTATGTCGATACGATATATCCTGGTGAGCTTGAGATAAAAGATACCACAGATTTTGACACATCTGTTTCATTCTTGGATATTTTACTTGAAAAAGACATTAATGGTAATCTAACACATCTGTTTCATACTTGGATATTTTACTTGAAAAAGACATAAATGGTAATCTAGGAACCAAGCTCTATGATAAACGTGAAGACTTTTACTTTTCTATCGTCAACTTCACTTACTTATGCAGCAATATACTCTCATCACCTGCATACGGAGTTTATATATCTCAGTTGATTCGATACGCAAGAGCATGCTCTACGTATGAACAATTTCTCAAACGAGGTAAATTACTGACAAGCAATTTGATGAAACAAGAATGTCAGCAGTCTCGTTTAAAGTCATCATTTCGTAAGTTCTATGGTCGATGCAATGACTTTGTCAGCAAATACATGTACAATTTATCAATGAGTCAAATGCTGACTGACGTTTTTCATACTGATTGTTAGTATTCACACACTGAATTGACGACGGATTTTTCCGTTATTTCCCGATCATGACAAGGAGCACACAGCGGGTGTGACCGGTCGGCAGGGGATGCCACTCCTCCATGGCACCTGATCCCATCTCTAATGTTTAGGAGGTCCATGTTTGCTCTGCTCCTACTTTGTATTGTTTTATGGACTTTGATATAGAATACTGTTCGTTATCTCCATATCTTTCATATACCTGTTTATGCAACAGGATTTGATTCTTTCATGAGAAAGAAAACAAGTTGTTGCTAAAAAAAACATTGAGCAAAAATATGGTTTAAATGAGTATTTATAATAATTTTACTTGCAAATAATATCTGCAAACAGGCATAATTTTGATGAATATTTCAAGGAAAATTCATATGTTGATACTCAGTACCTGAAATATTTTTTGTATTTTCACCATACAACAAAGTACATCAATTTTCAGAATATTAGAAACATATCGAAAATGTTTCTTCATGAACTGATCTAAAAAATTCATTTTAAAGCAAGGAAGAATTCATGCATTGGTATGAATAACAATAATAATCATAATAACATCAGCTGAATCTTTTGCAAGCATTTTTTTGGCAGCTATCGGTTCTTGAACCCACATGTAGAATATGTTCCGTTTACTTGCCAGTTCAAATACCAAACCATTTGATCCCCCTTTCCTTGTATATTTTATTTTGCTTCTTTTGAAGACAAAAAAACATACTTTTCTTTCGTTAAGCAAATCATTATGTATTTTTAGGGTTCTGGGACCTCTATCCAACTCCTATGATTTTTCGGAAGCGTACAAGTGCCCGATTGGTAGTCGTATGAACCCAGAAAAGAAGTGCCACATCTGGTGATTTGGATACAATAAATGAATCTCGGTCCTTCCTATTCCCATACACATGGGAAGCGCTTTTATTTTATGCCAAGCAGGTTTTACATAAACAGATACTTCAGGCATAGACACGCAAGCTCTGAATAGCAATGGAACAAAGGCAAAGAGTTTTTCTTTGTGTATTTTGAAGCATTGCTGGCTGTAACAAATATCCTAATCCATGGACTTTTGTCAGCAAATTTGATTTGCAGTGATGAAGATATATAAATGCAATACGTTTTGGAGTTGTTGTATTATATCTTGTTGGGTGCGTCAAAATGACGTTATTTATATAATTATACATGTACGAAATCATGAATATTTATGAAATATTTTTGTCTAATTTAATTATTAAACCAAACTGTTTGTTATGCTAAAATGTTGAAAGAACAATTAAATGCATATGATATAACATATTACTGTACAAAGACTGACATAACAGTCCAAACTCGTAAATTTGCTCGTTTGACGTCATGAATATTATATAGTTACATTTTAAATTATTTACTTTTAAAAAAGTTTATTTAATCCATAAATTCAATTAATGTTGTGAAAATTGCGTATTTAAAAAATTATTGATAAAAGACGTTCATATCATGTATTTGTAAGCATTAAGAAATTTTACACATACCCCATTTAAATTTGAAATTAAAAATATTTTTACTTTTTTATATACACTTCATAGTACTCAAATAAAAAAGGTCTTTATAATTTTTCTTCTTAATTATAGCAAGATTTTTTAAACTTAAAACAGACACAATATTTAGAATTTCCATTATTGAGTCGTTTATCTCATAAGCTTTAGATATAAGATTTTCTAGAGCAAGGTTCGTCGTTTGCACGGTCCATCACAGCTTTTACTTTCATAATTCTATCGTTACAATTTTATACTTTAGGATATAATGTACAAAGTTTTAATCTATTGTGATATGTATTTTTTTTTCTAATTATTAAGTACTAATATATGTGTTCATTCTTGTTCATATAACCTCCTCAGTTCTCTTTTGTTTTTGTTTGCTGAATAAGGTTGCGTCTCAGTTTAATGTCGTATACTTTTTGCCTACATGTACACAATTTGTAAAATAAATTGTCGAAGTAATATTTTCATTTTCTCTTTATGATAAAGGTTTCTGATAATTTGCTGTGAGTCAATGAATGAAAAATAATTACTTTCATCCATGTGTTTACTTGATATATATTCCAGCGAACCTAAAATAAAAGATATCGTAACATTTGTTTCATTTTAGATATTTCACAGGGAAACGTGAATGGTAACCTAAAAACAAAGCTTTATGATTTACCTGATGGCTTCAACTTCTTTTTTTTTATTAATATAGCAATATACCATTTCACCTGAATATGGTGTTTATTTAGTCTCAGTTACATTCGATACGCACGAATATCTCTATTTCAGAACATTTTCTGAATCGTTGTCAACAAATTTGATAACAAAAAACATCAACTGTCTCATTTTTAAGTCAACATTTTGCAATTTATATGGTCGATACAATTACCTTTTCAGTAAATACTATATGTCATAGAGACGAATGTTGATTGACGTTTCGCATACCGATATTATTTGTTAGGACATTATATATACACACTGAATTGACTAACAGATTATTTTCGTTTGTACGATCATCAAAAGGAGCACGCAGCGGGTACATGAACGGTGGACAGGGAATGCTTTGTTCTCCATGGCACCAGATCCCAATTCTGATGTTTTTGAAAGTCGCAGTTTGCTCTGCTCCTGATACACTGTATGTATCGTTTCAATAGACTTTTGAGCCATGTTTTACAATTATGGAAATACAGTGAAACCTGTCTAATCCGACATGCACTGGGAGACAAAATTTGTGTCGGAATAGTCAGGGTGTCGGATTACACAGTGCAAAGAAACATGGAAAACAGTAAAATGGGAACGAAATTAAACGTCGGAATTCACAGGGTGTCGGATTAGACAGTTTTCACTGTATGCAGTTCTGTGTACTGTATTCATTTATGTAGATTTTTTTGAGATAGCAAACGCAGGAGATTTAATTATTTGATAACTTTTAATCGTGTTAAAAGGTTTGTTGAATATTCAAAATGTTCTGAATACTTCTAAGTACCAGTATCTTAAGTTTTTACAAGAACCTGCCATATTTGAAAATTATTCTTTAAAGCAATATGAGCTGCATTGTTGAAAATTTTATTTTGCTGTTAAAATGTGTTATTATTATAAATTTGTGTGTAACTGACACCTTGATGATCAATTAGGCTAAAATAAAGCAGAAGAAAGACTTCTATATACAATCCAATATACAGTTTTATATCAGAAATCATTATTGTACAGGACGACAATAATGTAAGTTTGATTCAATTGAAGCTTAAAAATAGTTCTACCATCGCAACAGAAGTTTATTACCATTATTTTTTCTGTCATTGAAATTGTTATTTGCAATTTTGCAACAAAAAATTCCGACATCAAAGTTGTAGCTCATATTGCTTTAACAAGAATCATAATCACCCCTACTAATGTTATTGTGATTTAAATTCAAGACACGTGGTTTAGGTTTACCTATTCAAAGGTTAAAGGGTAGATCCGGTTTTATAAATAAAATTGACAGTAAACAGGAAATTGCTATAGTCTGTTTCTTCTGAAATATGTCCTATGAAAAATGTGTGTTTCCACACCTTTCTGAAAGACTTTCATGATTTTCAACAGAAATGGGTGGCTTAAGGTGGTGGTGGTGGGGGGGGGGGGGGGTAAATAACAATTAATACATCTCACAGCTCACTAGCGTCCGATACGCTGGTAAAAAAAAAAATGTGTCATATCATCTACACTGACAAACCATTGGCGGATCCAGAGGGGGGGGGGGGGGTTCCGGGGGTTGGAACCCCCCCTTTATTTTTTGGAGAGTGAGAGGGGATAAAACGTTTTCCGAGATTATATACATTTGTATTTGTACGTCCCACTTATTTATTGAATACAGAAATTCTCACACATTAAGTTTCCTCCAATCACCTTCTCTATTATACTTTTTAATGAGAGAATGGTAGAAAATATTCTACTTATTTTTATATATCTAGATCTTGTATGTAGCATGCGAAGTTTAATATGATATTGGATTCCCGCGATCTTTGGCTGTGTTGGCTATACTTGTACCGTTTTTTTATCATATCTAGATCTATTAAAGGAACTAACATGTAACTCTGTTTTAAAGCCCACCCGCCTCCCACCCCCAAAACGATTTTCAAATTCTTAAAGAAAATTCTTTATAATCTTCGGAAATGATACAAATCCATTCAATTTTAAGGCTTCCGTAGTTTTTGAAACGTGTTTTTTTTTTTGGTTTTGTTTTGTTTATTTTGTATTTGTTGTTTTGGTCGTACTGGGGATACGCTTTAAAAAAAAAAAAAAAGGCCATACAACAAAGATAGTATTTAGCACAACCTTAGATATTTCCATACAAGTCTGTGAATCTTTGCTTGAGAGTATGTATTGGGGGGGGGGGGGGGTAAGAGAGGAACAACCCTGGAACCCCCCTTTCAAAAATTGCTGGATCCGCCCCTGCAAACCTTTATTTGCCTTATATGGCTATTGTTATTACACAGAGGATCTTACCACGAGCAACTGACCAATTGTTGATTGAATACGTTTACGCCAAATACATGATTACATGTTACTTCGAACACGTGGTTCAGGTCAATCTATGATCATGTCAATGGAGTGTAAAATAAAACAAATGTTCTTATGAACAAAATGCAAACATTAGAAACTATTAAAAATATCAGGGGCGCTTTTAATTGTTGTTAACTAATGAAAAATATGTTAAATAAAAGGTATACGTAGTTCGTGTCAAGTCCAGAACACCAGCATTTCAAAGATGAGGAAAACGAGCAGCATCTCGCATGCATTTAAATGGACAAAACATATTTACATAACTATACTCGTGATCACTTGTGTTGGCCAGGGAATCCACCTGAAAATTGTATTCACCGATAGTATAAAGGAATTTATCAAGCGTAAAATTTCTGTAGTATTCGTATAGTAACCCATAATGCAATTCTCATTCATCTGATTTGTCAGTTAGTCACATTGGTGCCTCATTTGCGAATCTGACGCCAAAAAATATAGTCCCGGTTCCTATGCAAAATATTTGCCCAAAAAGAAATTTTAATTCATGACAGCAGAAAATTGTATCATAGAGAATACTTAAAAATAATTTAAACTTGAATGAATTCAAGAAAGATCGATTGAAGTACATTTCTACAGAATGATATCATAGGGTGGTGAAAACTAAAACACAACATAACTTTTCTGTTTACCATGTCTCCACGTGCTAGTTACTTCCTAGCCACATTTCCGTGAATAATTTACCCTATCTCGCTGAAGTCTCGCTAGCTCTCGCCAGAGCCACTGTCAGAGCTACTCTGAACTCATCGGGTTTTATAATGCGCAGAACACCGAAAAATAAAAGGTTCCGAACACATTAGTAGGGGTGATAATGACGAAGGTAAAACGCATTCATTAAACGGATTTAACCAGTTTAGTTTAAGTAAGGCATAGAAACTGTTATGAAAGACCGAAACATGTATATGGTTTAATGAATGCTTTTAGTTTTTCTCAACATTGTATGCCAGGTTTATAATATTGAAGAAGTCGTCTGATATCTGTAAAATCCAGAATTTATATAAGCCAACAATTATGCTTCAAAAATCATTTCTACTTTACTTAGAAAAATCTAATCCACTTGTACACTCAGATTATACCCATACTGTTTCATAACAATATCTTACTATTCTCTTTTAAATGATGGATCGAATGTTGAAATTTTACATCCTTGGCAAGATTTTTTTTTTCATTTGTATGAGAAATCACCAGATTTCAAAGAAAAGCCTCAAATTTAGACCTTTACTCGGCACTCAGGGTCTTTGATAAGTGAGGGATCTATGCCTGCCGTGACATAGGACCTAGCTGAAAAACACGCAATTTTTACATAAAAGCCCTATAGACGAAGGAATGGTTGCTGTCTCTTCTCTGTTGCGGAGCTGGATCTCATAAATGTGGTTAAAACAAGTTTTCATAAACAATTATACAATCATGTCGGTGAAGTGTTAATTAGCTGTATCCGCAGCTTCTATGTTCCCTAGCACTTTCCTGCTGACTTTTAAATTTTGTTTAAATATGAACTTGAAGTAAAACATAAGCCTTTAGATCATCTGTTATCTTTATTCTTAAAACAAGCAAGAAACTCCTTTGTATGATTTACTCTAGGGATATTTTACTATATTTTGATAAATTAATGAGTGATCTTTTTAAATATATATATATATATATATATATATATATATATATATATATATATATATATATATATATATATATATATATATATATATATATATATTAATGGAAACGTCGTTCTTTGGCAATTGAGGTCCACCTTTGACTAAAATGGAAAATACCTTGACCAAAATAAGTATTATCTTATTTATCTAGATGAAATATGTGGAGGAAACGAATAGTATTCGAGCTCAAAATCCCATTAAACATTACAACATATGATAGTAGTGGAGCATGCAAACATGGACCTCCAAAACATCAGAGGTATAATCAGGTGCCATGGGGGAGAGAGTGTCCCCTGCTGTCCGCGCATATCCCCCGTTTGCTCCTTGTCATGATAGGGAAATAACGAAAAAAGCCCGTGACAACTCAGTGTGTAAATAATGGCCTAACAATCAGTATGAAAAAGTCAGTCATCGTTTGACTTAATGATAAATTGTATTTGCTGACAAGGTCATTGTATTGACCATAAAACTTACGAAATGATGACTTTAAATACAACTGCTGATATTCTTTCTTATTTGTCAATAACTTTCCTCGTTTTAGAAATTGTTCATACGTAGAACATGCTCTTGCTTATGGAATCAACTGAGAGATATAAACTCCGTATGCAGTTGACAAAAGGTAAGGGAACATTGAAAAGTCATATCACATTTTTCATAAAGCTTTTTTGTTAGATAATTCAACTTTTTTTTCTTTTCTACATTTACGGAAAAGAATCAGAAATTTTATGAAGTTGATAACTTTTGAACTGTGATAGAATTAAATG